AGAGAGAGAGAGAGAGAGAGAGAGAGAGAGAGAGAGAGAGAGAGAGAGAGAGAGAGAGAGAGAGAGAGAGAGAAATGCGGATGTCAGTAGACGCCTACATTTCGTTAATGAACGCGACCTTGTTGCACTTGGCAAGCTGCAACTAGCTACCGCGAGCCGGACATTTATTTCTCTCGGATATCGTATCTGCGCGCATCGCGTGCACCGTTTATTGCGACAACGCGTAACGTCATCCGCAGAGCGAGGGGACGGTATTCAATGGGCATACAAGTGTTCTGCCGTCTTAAAAATTTGAGAGACACCTATATGCGTGCCCATTCAACGCCGGAGATTCAGCCACTAATGGCACATTCGTACACCGTAAGGAGCTTAAGGGTCGAGTTTTATGTTTGTTGCGTTGCGTTTATAATTGCAAAAAAAATAACAGTTTATATTCCCCGTTATTTTATAGCATTAACCCCGGGTCTTCGCCCCGTTGCAACATTGCATATTTATCTCTATCTCATCCTGGGCGGTGCGACCCGTATAAAAACAGTTCGTTAAAGCCCGTCGCATTTCCAGAATAAATATGTGGGTTGTATCCCACGGTGTATTTACTACAGCAATTTATTAGATATACAAATAGCGGAAATTACAGACAAGGTGGCGTATATCGGTATCCCAGTGGATAGATATATAAACTGGATATCGGATTCGTAAATAGCGCGAATTAATCATACGTATCATCTAAATAAATGAATAAATATTTGTAACAAATATTGTGCGGCGCGTATACGCGGAGCTGACACGTCGCGCGGCGAGATCCTTTATTTTTTTTCCCCCCCCGAGCTGATAAATCTTCGAATCTCTTGTCTCCGTAGAAACGATCGCGGTTTTACGGCTGCGTCCTTTGAGACGCAGGTTAATACACTTACGTGCGCGTTATAAAACTCTTTACGACAACGGTATTCCCTCTGAAACGGCGGATACGCGTTCTATTTTCTGCGCGCCGACCGGTCCACGGTAAGGCGCGACATTTCGGGTTGCACCTCCTCTCTCTTTCTCCCGATCTTTTTTTTTTCCCCCCGGCACTTTCCGCCCGTTTTTCAGCTTTATCCGACAATTCGATAAATTTAACAACGGTAAAAGCCGGAATTCGCCGCAGTTTTCCTATTTGTCGGCGAATTCGCCCGGCATCCGAGCAACCAGACTGCCGCATGTTTTATTTACCAAGTGGAATTTCCTTTTATCATAGCTCAAATTAGATATTAAATATTCGCGAAGCGACCGTTAATATTAACCGTTTACCGGAATTACACAATCGGAGTGGAGTAAATTTGTTGTTTGTTAACAATTTCGCGAGATTGAGATATAACATTAAAATTCTATGCAATTCTTTTTTTAAAAACTAATAGCGAAACGGGCTGACAGCTGTGTGAATCGCTGAACCGCGATTTTTAGCGCGCGTTCCACTCTCCTAAACATTTCGTGTGAAGGCCAATAAAACAGCGCAGCGCTGGAGGGACCAGGTGACAGCTTCGTAAAGCAGTGGGCTATTTGTTAGACGCGGCTCGCAGGGATGAAGTAGGGCGTTAGGTCGTACGTCCGTCGACCGAGAGAACACCTATCGCGATTCGTCGTGTTGGGTTCTCTCGACAGCCGCTGAAAAGTCGAAAAAATTACGCCGGCCCGCCGATCGACTTTTCCCCAAAATCGGACGTAACTCCCCGACGTTTCTATCCGACGCGTTGCGCGACGACCCGGTCGCTCCTGTCCATTTTTCAATTGTCGCGTAACAACACCATGTACCCCCGTTGCATCCGTAAAACGCGACGCAACGAGTACCACCCGATACTCGATGATCCTATTTTTCATAGAGCTCGTAATTTCATAACAGCGCGCACCGCCGCTTTTATTTTCGCAGGACTTTTTTGACCCGCGCCACCCCCTCCCCCTCCCCCCCCCTCTCGTCGGTCGGCGAAAGGCTCTTCATATCTCGCGCGATCATTTTTGCCGCGAAATAACGCGTCGCCCCGACGCGTGTGTTTTCATTTCTCGGCGCCGACGCTTCCTCGCGCGAACCGTACAGCTGTTTACAGCGGCCATTTGTCCGGGCTGTAACGTTCGGCGCGCGTTATACGTGCCATTTATTTTCGCGAAGCGCGGTCCGCCGCACTTCCTGTCGCGGTTCCACCCCGCGGTAATCCCGCAGAATGAACGTCACCGTGTAATTAGATCAAAGCAGCGGATATATTGTGATCTCGCGCCTATGAATTTTCTTTCGATCCGTCATACGTTTCGCATCGAAGTTTTACAAGGACCTTTGTCGCGCGTGTAGAAAAAGCTGACGAGCCTGCTCCCGTCGAACACTCATCTTGAAACTTACCCGTTCGATTCCCTCAAAGAGAACAGTTTTAGTCCGCGTATGTTTTATTTGTTATATAAAATATACAGGGTGTTTCGTAACACCCGCCTCACCTCTTCTTTACGGATAGAGCGGACTAGACTAAGTCGAAAAGTTCTCTAGCATTTTGTAATTTTCGTAATAGTTAACGAGTTATTGATTATCAAAAATCCCTGTCTTAGCCCGGCCTACCGTCCAATTCAAACGCGCGAAGAGATGCGGTCGTCCCCGCGCGCCTAGCAACGCCAATCGCGGGACGGCCGCATCTCGCCGCGCGCTTGAATTGGGCGGTAGGCCGAGCCAAGACAGCGATTTTTAATAGCTAATAACTCGTTAACCATTGCGAGAATTGCAAAATGGTAGAGGACTTTTCGACTCAGTTTAATCCGCTCTATCCGCAAATAAACGGTGAGGCGGATATTACGTAACACCCTGTATACATATAGTAATAAAGGAGTAAAAGCCAAGACAGGATGTTGGCGTCTAAATAAATTTAATTTTAAGTCTTGCGAAAAATAATACTTCAGCCAGGGTTTGAACCTGGACCACCGAGGCATGTCGAATTGATGAGACGACCGCCTAGCGAGAGGGAGGGTTCAAACCCTGGCTGAGGTATTATTTTTGCGCAATAGATTAAAAATTAAAATTATTTAGGCACCAACATCCTTGGCTCTTACTCCTTTATTACTTCGTATTTGTGTTTTCACATTAGAGCCTTATGAATTTTATTAATAAAATATTCATTTATAAAATATATATACAACTACATGCGCGCGCGTGCAAGGTGTGTTTAGAAAAAAAATGATGCAAAGAATCGGGAGAAACCAACCGGGAAATAGACATTTACGTAATGCGTACGAGTTGTTCCGAATGCTCTTCTTACGACCAGTCTCTCTGCGCGTGAGAAAAGTACGCGCGGAAAATGCTCGCGCACTTCTCAAAGAAAATGCAACGTGATATCACATTTTTTTTCGTAATACTTTCTTTATCTCCAGTAACAATGGCACAAAAATATGAAGTTACTACGTATTTTAATATAATATTTCGCCGGACGGTCTGCAACGCAAGCCGTAGCTTTTAATAAGAATGCTGAATTAAAAAGAGAACGACGAAGAGTTATAAAATGCGCGTTAAAATAGTGCCGTGAATACGAAGAAAATTTATTTCAATCAAATGCGCGCCACGTCAAATAACAAAATTGCAGACTGAATCTATTACCGGGTATAATGCATCTCGTATTTCCGTGTTTTCATGCCATACATTTTATTAGAAGAGAGATATAAAAATCTACTTTTAGACCTATAATTAAAAATTTTTTATTAAAACTGTAATTTTATGAAATACACGCGAGTACCTTCATATGGAATTTCGTGCATATGTATAATATACTTTAATTCCTCGCTAATTCCACGCATCCGATGATTGTCGCGCGATGCTATTTATAACGTCGACATCGATCGGAGGATATTTATAATCTCATAATATACACCCGAACTTTCGGTAACGCGATGTTCGATTTGACTGCGTCATTTTATCTAGCCCGAATAACTTGCGGTCGATCTTCAGAGGTGGTCAGCAACCCACATTTCATATATTTTCCCCATTGGTATTTTAGATATTATCTGCGAATTTTGTGTATGTATGTGTTGCAAACTAGCACGTGAACTATCACGCGAGTTGCCGCGAGCTCGTTCCCCTTCGAACTACGTTTCATCCCCCTCCCATTCCCTTTTTACCTCTGACCTCGGCCTGAACTTCGAGCACACAGATTACGCGTTCTTATTTTACCGGGCAACCCTGAATTTCGCGCACGTGACGAGCGACCGTTCGTCATATTCTCCGTTCACGTGCATATAACACGTGCACGTATATCTCTGTACCGGCAGCTCTCGTACCGTATCAATCGAACCGCATTTTGGCGCAAAACGCCACTTACCCTTGATTCCGTGACGATGCGAAAATAACGGCCTTCGACGAGTCTGTGTGCTCGCGTGTGTCCCGTTATATTAAAAAATAACGTTTAAGTAGCATATAGATGTATACGAAATTGACCTTTTCTAACACGTCAACTTTCTTATTTTCAGGATGATCCCCGCATAATGAAGGTTGGAGATAAGAAACGTTGGATACACGACCCGAATAGTAAGTGACATTGTTGAAAATATACCATGAAACCTGGACATTTCACTCCCTCCCTCATTTTATCCCCTTGACACTTTGCGATAAGTGAAGCCCGAGTAGCTTAAGATACTCTAAAAATAATATATAGAGCAAACGTTTTTAAATAGTCTATAATTTTATATGGAATAATTGACAAGATATTTTGAGATAAAATTTAAAAGACATTTAATTTAATAATTAAAACCTGTTTACTGATTTAAAGCATGCGAATATACTGCTCTAACGAATGTAGGACGTGTTTTAAAAACAATCAAAGTATACGTGTTGAAAATTTCGTCGATTTTTAAGGCTTATCAATCGCGGAAGGTCTTGGAACTTCGGGCGTCGAACGCCGGTTCCGAGAATCAACGTAGCCGTAAACACTTCGGTCGAAAACAGTCTATTCTCATTGATTTCTATAACTTATTATCTTACTTTTTATCTACTTTTTCACTGTTTTTTACTCTTACACTTAATTTATTAATTAACTTATTTCTCTAGCTTATTATCGTACGATTTGTCTATTGATTTATTTATCCTTACCCGTAATAATTTCAGATATGACATTATGAATTTGCTGTCACAGACTCATTTTGTTTCAGCGTAAATTAATTTTTTTCAGCGTAAGTTAACATTAGGTATTTTTCTTGGAATCTCACATGTACACGTATTTTTATAATTCGACTCTGTCTCATGTGACGACGATGACACACTTAGTACTACTTGATAAGGACCGAAAAAAATAGGGTCGAAACGTTGTATTAAACAAATAAAGGAATATGCCAGTCGGGTTGACTATAGGTTTCTCGTTTTAATTTTTAATCATCACTAGCTACCATAAGCAAACTCTCCTTCCTGATTTCGTTTCTTTTCAGTTGAGATCCCCTGTCAATTCGGGGGCGTGTGAGAGTCACTCTTTATTCTCACAGCCAAGGTCCGTGTTAAATTTCTACTGGGGGAAGCTCGTCGAAAATGGCATATTATAATTATTTGCGTTTCATTCATCGGTCCTGCGTTACATATTCAGTTAAAATTGTTTAATTAAGACACTTTTTTTTCAAGAATATCCACATATGGATAACTAACGATCAAGCATAATTTGAATTCGCTCCTGTACAGACAACGATAAGTGCGCGAAACCTAATCAGACTTTGCTTCGTGTACTTGAATCGTGTATGACAGCAAAGCGGAACATTTAACGGGCTATGTTTATCGTGTTCGCGCGATGTTCGCATGGGTAATTGGCATTGTCGCTGGTTCGCTGATCGAATTGCGTTATGGCGCGTCAAATGAATTTCACGCGGCATGTATCCCCTCGAGCGCAAATCGTCGAGCGCGATGTCAACGCCCGCCTTTCGAATGCCTCGCGATTTTTCAGCCCCGCCGGGGTGATGCACGCCCGCGAACTTTTCGCGCCGGGAGGATCGTAAAGCCGGATATACGTACGACCGGTATGAATTCGAATGGAATCTCTCCGCCCGTCGGCTGGTTCGCTCGGCGAAATGTGATATTTATCACGAGCGTTGCCGCTAAATTCCCTAGAAAATTCCAAATATTATATATATATCTATATATGTATATATATATGTATATACTTCATGTGCGCGTCGCGGCCGAATATATCGTGAAAATCTGGAGTAAAAGCCGGAACGATAGTTGTGAAAATGACGTGAACGTATCCGACAAGAATATCACGCAACGCGAATGATGTACCCGAACAAATATTATTTCTTTCTTTTTCTTATAAATATTGCATAGAATTTCGAGATGGAATTCTTGAGTTTGGCTCGCGTCAAAAATATTACTCGTTCGCCGCTGTCACGTGTATTATTATAATATGCACGGCATACGAAATTACTAGAAACCGGGGAGAAAATTAGAATTGAGAGTTTCTTCGATTTCCTATCACGTTCGTTTTAATTATTATTTGTTTAATTGAAATAAAAAAAAACTTGAAAAACAAATATGCGGACTGTGGACTTTGAAAGAATTGCGATGAAAAATAATCAAGTTAGATGACGTGCGCGAATTTAAAGTTGCGAATAAAAGTTAATAATAATGTATGCAGACATCGAAATCCACCGATGAGCAAATGAAACGGAATTGCGTCGAACGGATTTAACGCCGGTAGTAAAAAAGATCGTATTTACATGTCGCCTTTTTAAACGGTCCCGATTTGAATAGCGCCGTCGTTTAAAATATTGCTGAATTCACTTCGCCAAAGATTTATATATAAAAAACATTATCTGGCGCGCCCGTTATGCAGGACGGATTTATTAATAAAATATATAATCCTATTGTAACGCGGATATATGCCGAGCAAAATAGGGAATACATTTGTAGAGGATGGACGCAGTTGGACGCAGTTTATCCCAGTTTTTAACTGCAGCGTTACTTCACGGTGTCCCTTTGTTTTCCTTTTACTCTCAACTCTTTTTAAATTAGCTGTGACGCTTCGTGTATCAGATGCTTTCGATTCTTTTTAATTCATTTATCGTGATCTGCGCCAGATAACTGCTGCATCTCTACTCGCATGTTTAACTATATTACTTAGCTATATTACTTAAAGCAGTGAAGCTAGCGTCTCACTTCCAGAATTTTAACGTAATTATTGATCAATTCTATAAAGGAAACATGAAGCAGATATCCAATACCTTTCGATTTCCATTTACTTGCGCCTTTCAAGACTCTCAATAGAAACCTTAACGCTTTTTGAGAATAATTAGAACTTTAAATTACATTGAAATTCTGGAAATATAACTTTGAAGTGCTAATTTTCCCTAATGAATGAATAAATCGGTCAGCTTGCTATTGAGTTCTGTTAAGGAATAATCATTTTACCGACGGATTAAGATCTTTTAACAAACTTTCAACCATCCTGAGAGAACGAGCGCGCTGTTCGTAATTCGTGATTTTATTTTGGTAAATTTATTGATTAATAACATTATTGATCTTCTGTCGCTCTGCTGACTGGATGTATTAATTTCGGTGATATTAAAACTGATAGGACTCTTGCCACTTAATGTTCCGTCTTTGTCTCTTCAGTGCAGCCTCGCAACGAGGTGAGGAGAGCTGAGAGCCTTGTCCGATTGGGGACATGTGTGAGTTAATAAACGACATGCATTTTGGCTATCGTACAGCCCTTTGTAAAAAGTCTTTAACTCGACTCTCTCTCTCTCTCTCTCCCTCTCTCTC